GTCATAATATTGGCATTCTACCGCATTTCCCCAAATATAAGCCCTAACCGAAAAATAAGCCCTAATGCATCTTTTGGAGCAAAAATTAATATATGATCTGGTCTTATTTTGGGGAAAACATGGTTAAATGCCAATATTATGACTTTCTTGCCTAAATCAATATGCCAGTTTTAGAATATGGTGATCAATCAAGGTTCCGGCTACTTTTCTCCAAAGTCTCTCACATGGTATAGAATCACGGGTGGCCTTTTGGTCCATGAAAACAATGTAAACATTGCCTTTGGGGAAATTATATTTTTGGCTAGGTGGTGCAATATTGTGTATTAGTCCACAGTTGGGCTGAATTATTCTCAGAAAGCATCCATTGCAAGGTTTAGAATACAAAAATCTAGTGTATAATCACATATAAGGGAGTAATAAGGAGATAATTTGGAGGGGCCCCTTTTTGAATATAGAAAAAATGATGGAATTAAAACATTTTTTGAAGATCCGTAAGGTGTTATTTCTGACAGGAAAAAGGGGGACTAGCAGAGATGTGCACTAAGCAGAGTTAGAATTTAAATATTCTGGTAAAATTATGTCTTTGCCAGGGGCTTAATTATTTTTCAGAAATTTTTGAACTTTTGTGTGGCATAACATAACAACCATTACTTGAAGGTGCATTAAACAGGCCATGTTTTTTATAGCCTGCTGGAGCTTAGTCCAGTTCTTTAATGGATAACTTCTGTTTCTTCTCCTTGAGAAGTTTTTTCTAACTTTTTTAGAGTACAAAAATTTTCTTGAGAAGGGTCATGCATATTTGGGTGTTAGCCTTACTTTCCTTCAACACATTGTCTATCAAACCAGAGTTTAGATTGCTATTTTAATGGAGGAGAAAGGAATTGACTACATTTTAGATATTTTTGAGGTAAACCAATAATTTGCTGTAATATACTAATTATTTCATAAACATTGCTAGCCACACTTATAGATGGCTTCAAATGAACAACTGCTGAGGCTCCAAAAAATTGAGCCACAGCCACAGACATTTTATTAGATTGTGCAGTGTTTTCCTTCAACTCATATAAATCTTTTGCTTATAAGACCTGGATGAATTAAACTGTTGGATGCAAGGGAATCAAGGCCTGGTAAAGAATGGCCTAGAAACCTATCATGGAAAAATGGTCACTTACTAAATGGAAAGACATAAAAAGGTTTACGATGAGAGGCAAAAACATTAGTAATTAACATATAAACCTTAAAGGTGTTTGTAATAGTGGCAAATATCTGTAGCTCAGGTGTAGGATGTGGGTGAAGGTTTGTTCTTTGAGTTTGTGGGTTGGTTTCTGAATGGTTCGTTACCAGGCTAGGTAACATCTTCAGCAGAGTTTAAGGGTTGTCAGTGTTCTTCTGTTTATAAGGGTTTCAGGTGTGGGTGTGTCAAGTGAGGGTCTGATGGGTCAGGTGTGAGTCATCAGAGTCTTGTGATTCACACCTGATCCATCATAAGACCTTCACTTGATACACACACACCTGAAGCCCTTATAAACAGAACACTGACACCCCCTAAACCAGGGGTGTCAAACTCACAATGTCACATGATGTGTTGCGACGTATCGTGACTTTTTTGCTCATTGCTGGCAATGGGGTGGGCGCAGTTTCACTATGATGCATCTGGCCCGCGGGCCAGCAGTTTGACACCCCTGCCCTGAACTCTGCTGAAGATGTTACCTAGCGTGGTAGCCAGATGTTCAAAAAAAACCCCACCGGCTCAGAGAACAAACCTTCGCTCTCAGTCTAAAGCTCTATTTATCATCAGGCTCACCAGGCAAGGATCTTCAAATAAATGTTTATGGTCAACTGTGGCATTATCCATCTCTGCAAGATTCTGCTCCTGTAACCTTATAATAAAAGTAGTATCAGCATTCCTAACTTTGGATTCCTAGTCTGATCTATCCCAAGGGGCTGATATTTTCTTGATAGGTTAGGCATATTGATTCTGTGGAAGGCTGAATAGATAGATGGAAAGCTGCAAAGATAAGTAAATAGGGTTATAAATGTCCTATCTCCATTGTTTCCACAGGACTTTGGGGACTGATAAACAGTGAAGGTATTGCAGGATCCAATCTGAGTCAGTCACCGGGACCAGAGGTTTTGTTTTCCAAGCTTTTGGACTCGTACTGCAGCCCATCTTCAGGGAACTTCTCTCTAGCAGAGTGTGTGCTGCTCTGTGTGGGGGATTTATATGATGCCTGTTGAATGTGACTTTCTAGATGCTGATTGGGATGTGTTGATGGCTGGCTTTTACTGTAAGTCATTGGCTGTCGTTTGCTTGTGCTGTCCAGCCCTCGCCTTCTAAATACTTGATAGACTGGTGGTAAATCAGCAGTCTTGTTGACTGACAAGGAATCTATTTCCCAGGCTTCAATCACTTTCCTGGCTGTTTTTGTACCTGCTTGTCCAACAACCTTAGTAGCTGCAAAGTTGAAAGTGTGACCTTGTTCATTGCAATGTGAGGCTACCAATGAGTTCAGGTCTTCTTATCTGAAGGTACTGGTCACCCAATAAAATTTCCTGCTGATGAGAAAAAAAACCCAGTTACATTTCCCAACATTGGCTGGGACTGGAAAAGGAGGTGAGTCTGAATGTGCAACACAGAGTAATTCCTTCCTTATCCAGTAACCATTTTTCTTGCCATGTTCTCATGAACTTCCCTGAGGCAGTTTAATGTCATTCCAGTTTTAAAATAGTATGTTATTTTTATGGCTATAATTTGGCATGCTTTGCTAACCATCTGGTTGCTAAAGCCATCAGGATCTGCCTGTACATGCCACTTTAGGGCTGCTCTCCCTCTCATGATGGGTCACTCTCACCAGGGGTCATTTTTGCCTGATTGCAGGGAAGATCAGGCATCTGTTTTTTGCAGAAAATTTGATCAGCACTTTCCAAAGTGTGTCAAATTTACCTGAATCTGTATACACTTTATACGAGTATAAAGTGCTAGTTCCATGATACCCAGGAGATTGAACTCAACCAGAAAGAGAGCTGGATTCTGCCAGCTTTATGTTGCTACTTTTGTTGCCATTGGCAGCTGCCCATGTTTTCTGCTGTTTCTATTACCTTTGTAATTCTGCATGAAGAAATGCCAGAGGCGGCCGCCTGGATAGCTGAATTGAGCATCCAGTTATGAGGCCACCGCTGTACCTCCATAGATGTTTTGTACATAATTGTGTAGATTGTGTGTATAGTGCATGTTTACTTCTCTTCTGTCATGTTGTCATATGCTAAATAAATAAAAGGTACCTTTATTATATTTGAGAACTTGCACATAAACGACTCTCAGCTTGACTGAGAAATGCTCTTGAGATCAATATACATAGCTCAAGATTACTTATCTTACCATCCTCAGCCATGCCTTTTGCTTACATTATTGTAATTTTGACATTCTTAGAGTGGTCACTGTTTTTGTTATGCATGGGTTTGTTGGTTTCCAGGCGACTGTCCACTGGCGACTGTCCTGTACTGATATAGTGGATTTTGTTTTAACTCAGCAACCTGGAGAAACCCTAGTTAACAATTCCTGGTTCCTATTCTGTCATTTTGTCCCCCTCTTTCAACATTCCTTTTGAGAGACAAGTGCTTTCACCTCCTTTGCAACCTATCTCACTCACTGGGAGATAAACAGGAACAACTGGCGCTTAGTAGTTTGAAGTTTTGGTCAGTGAGGGTGGGCGAGATGAAGCATGTAGTGGGTTAAAGAAATTATTTATACACTTTCAGTGGAAATGCAAAAGTCAAGATCTTATTTAAGAAAAATGAGTAATACACATGCAGTCTTCATGAATTTAGAAAGCTTTTGTTGTACAGTTTGCTTAAGGATTACAAACACAATCAAGTGCAGAGGGTGTGGGAGAGACAAAGTGCTAAAATTTGATGCCAATGTGCCCAAATTATGAAGTCTCTCTGAGAGATCAAATCATTGCTTGTGTTTTCATCTCTTGCTACCAACACCCATTGCCTATTCCTTTCTATGTCTGCTCAGTGTTGATCATTGCAGGTAGTTCTTGACTTACAAGAGTTTATTTAGTGGGCATTCAAAATTACAACAGCACTGAAAAAAGGGACTTATGACCATTTTTCAGTTACAACTGTTGCAGCATCCCCATTGTCACATGATCAAAATTTAGATGCTTGGCAAGTGTTTCATATTTATGATAATTGCAGGGTCCCAGCATTATGTGATCCCCTTTTGAGACCTTCTGTTAAGCAAAGTCAATGGGGAAGCCAGATTGACTTAACAACTAAGTTACTAATTTAAGTTAAGTTATTTAACTTAACAACTGCAGTGATTCACTTAACAGTTGTGACAAGAAAGACTGTAAAATGGGGCAAAACTCACTTAACAAATGTCTCACTTAACAACAGAAATTTTGGGCTTAATTGTAGTCGTAAATCAAGGACTACCTGTACATGACCTGATAATTGGCAGTTCTCATCTTTTATAGCTCCCATTCCAGAATTAGTCTGATCTTGACGAATGATTTCCTTGGGATCTCTAGTCAGTGCCAGCAGACCTGGTTAGGTAGCTTCCTTGTTCTTCACCCTCCTCTGTATGTGCCCATTTTTTCTCAGCATTGGATTTCATTCATCTCTTTCTCCCAATATTATTTTCTTTTAATATGCTCATTCTGGATGCCCACCCATAGCAAGCAAGTTTTCATTTATTTATTCCAACTCAAGTGAGATAAAAGGGACAGGAGTGAGGGATCTGAGATGAGAACTGCTTATTTTCACTATAATCAGAAAACCTGACCCTTATTATCAAAAATAAGTTGATTGGCATTTGACATCATTACTGGTCAGCAGGTATTATATGATTATATAAAGGTTGTTTGTACCCTTCTTAAGTGGGCAGGACCTTATGGTCTGTCCTCAGTGCTGTTCAAATAAACTTGGCTTGAGCAGATTGTAAACTGAGATGTAGGGAATTTTCCCTTTCAGTGGTGCCCTTGCTTAAGCTCTCAAATATGACAATTTGCTGTTTGAGTCTTGACTGGGTCAGAATGCATGGCTTGGAGCTGATGGCTGAATTCAGCAAGCTGTTTAGCAAAGAGCTCTGTTGCAATAGCAGTCCAACTAACAGCAGCTTCTGACAATCTATATAAATAAAAATGTAAATGTTCGTTTGTTCAAAATCTTAAATCTCCGAAAGTTCTTCACCGATTGCTTTGACATTTTGACACAACGTTGCATTCGAATACGCGTGTGTTTTTATATACCTATATTATATAGATGTCACACCTGTGACAGGTAAAAACATGCTTTTTTGACAAGCATTGTGAAATTAAACAATTACAAACGTGCGCTTTCTCTTTTCTTTCTTTTCCATTTAACCAGACTGAGCCACAGCAACATGTGGTCGGGTACAGCTAGTAGATTAATAATGGAGCCTAAATAAAACCAGTCAGAAGGCAAGTCTGCAGGACATAGGCTCAGATAGAGATGGATACTAGAAGTTAATGGGTTGGGAATAAACTGTCCCATTCAAAGTATGATACACATAACACACATGCACAAGGAGTCCAGGCCAAGTCTTTACTTAGCTTGAGTAATTACAGTAAGGTGTCTACAATATGCAGACATGCACACACAATCTCAAACAGTCCAAAATTGCTTGGAAATTTAACAAGCCAACTCCGGATAAGCAAAATTTCAAGCAGTAGGCAGAAAGGTCATCTGAGCACCATCCAGACTTTTGTAGAGCCACTATAGGTCATCAGCTGGTCCAGGTTCAAAAGCAGTGTTTCCATAGGCAGGAGTTCAGGGCACAACAAACAAAGATTCCAGTAAATGCAGTAGTTGTTGCCCATGAAAGATTGCTTGTAGCTGTAGTTCTAAAATAGAGCCCCACCAGTTGCAATTAATGGTGGGAATATCCTTGCCTTGCAAGGAGCTATGCAGATCTCCTCTGTTGAGCCCTTCATGCCTTAGAACTTGGGGTGTCAGGTGAGAAGGATCAGGACCATGCATTAAGTTGCATTTCAGGACATTTATTGCTCAAACTTATACACAAGAATCTAGTCAACTAAAGTTCAGTACTAAATTGGCAACAAATAAGGTTCAATGGAAGAGAACTTGGGCTGTTTGTGAGAATGTAGTGACTCTAGGCTTATGACATGTTTAACTCCACCCCTCAGCTCTGCTTGCTCTTCTCCAACATATTTGATTCTATCCAGCAGATCACATTTTTTAAACATCTTGCTATAATCCATGTGTCTTACCTCTTGTTTAGCAATCAAGTTATGTTCCAACAACCAGTCTGTGAAGCGAAATGATTGCTGACAGAGACACCGCAAATATTACACGCTGGTTGGTATGCATTGTCGGGTGGATGAAATTTGGTCATAAATGTGCCAATTGGTTGGAAAATCCATTTTTTATTACTGTAGTTTTGCAAATGGTCATTAATTGAGGTAGTTGCTAAATGAGAAGTGGATGTAGTCTAATTCTTGTACAAACTATGAGACTGTGATCAATACAGACTTTTGGCTGGTCTGGGTTGGCCATATGTCAGAATATAATCCGTCAGTAGGGTTGGCAAGTAAGAGAGGGGGATGAAGAAGAATTTGATATCTCGGCCTGCAGCATAACGGCTGTGAGGGTAGGCAGAGATTAAGGCATGTTCCATGCAGTCTGTAACTATGTGGAGATTTTTCTTCTTCCATCTTTTGCCAACAAATGTTTGGTTAACTGTGGATAGAAGAAAAAAATAAGAACAAGTCAGCCACCTGGATTGGGCAAACCATCTGTTTGTCTGCATGAGTAACAGTAATCAGCAATCTGAGTTGAAATCCATCTCTTGACTGTAAAATAGTACTGTGTCTTTAATGCCACGACAACACGATCCTATATTTTCTCCTATACCACAGCTATGGCTACCACCCAAAGAGATTAAAATGTATTATATATTATTCTGCATACTGCTTTTAATATTTTATTGTACACTGCCCAGAGTCCCCCTATGAAAAAGATGGGTGGTTCTTAAATATGATGATTAAATGAATCGATGAATAAGTAAATAGTTAGAAAACGTGACCGAAAATTGCTGTTCTGGGTGTCATCTTGCAATTGTTAATATTCCTTTCTAAATTACGTTGTGCAAGTGATTGGCAATATCTTCATGTGCCACTGCATGATCTTGCCCTAGACATTGGCATCCATCATATAAATAATTATTCCTTTTTAAAGTGTTTAACATCTCCTGAGACCAGCAAATCTTATGAGATTTCAGCCATCATGATCTCATATCAGAATTCCAAAATTTTGAGTGATTTCAACATTCTTGCCTGAAACTTTCCAGTGTTTATTTTTTTTAAGGTGATAGAATTACTAATTTGATGTTTTGAGGTGGAGCCTCTGCAGATTTGACAATGGAGCAGCTAATAGTAAATTTCTGATGTCTTGGGAGGCACAAAGGCCACTCAAGAAAGCAAAAACAATTCATGGAACTGAACTCTTTTCCCACCAGAGAGTAATATGGGGCCTAAATAAAGCTGAGGGCTATCTGCCCGGATCTGGTCTTAAAAAAACAAAAAGACACAGAAGGCTGGTTTTGCTCTCTGTAGGAAATCCTCAGGTGCTATGGTGAATCCTCTGTTAGGATGTTATTACTGGAAGCATTTTATACCATAAAAATAGTACAAGTTTCCTGTAATCTATATCTACGGAAATTGGGTCCTGAGTAAATCTCGGAATAACTGATCTTTTTCACCATTTCTAAATAGGATACAACTAGTTAGTAAGTTCTAAAGATTTAAATTGTATTTAATGTCACAATTTTCAGAGAAGAAAGTAAAACAGGAAACATACATTCTATTTTGCTTCCTCATCTGGAAGTCCCAAAGGTGCTTTTTCAAGAGGCAACTAGACTTTCTTGTGTGTTTTTTTAAAGATGTTTCACTTATTATCCAAGAAGCTACTTCAGCTCTTCAGTTCTTCTTCAATGAGAAAAGAGAAATATCTTCAAAGAAAAACAAGAAAATCCTCTTGAAAAAGCACCTTCGGGACAACCATGACCTGGATGACTGAGAATCTCCATAGACCAGGGGTCTTCCAACTTGGCCCTTTTAATGACTTGTGGACTTCAACTCCCAGAATTCCTCAGCCAGCGTGCCTGGCTGAGGAATTCTGGGAGTTGAAATCCACAAGTCATAAAAGGCCCAAGTTGGAAGAGCCCTGCCGTAGACATTCCTCATCTGGAAGTTTCAATCTAATATGCACATTAGATCCATGCATGCTATTTCCTACACGTACTTCCCATTTTTTTTGTCTCTGATATTTAAAAAATCTGAATAGCCATGCACAGGCATATAAACCTAATTTAGTCACTAGATGAACATTTGTTACTTTGCTGTTGTTGAATTTCTTTATTGTATGCTATGGTCTTCCAACTGCAGAGAAACAAGTTTGCTATCTACTTGTTATTTTTTAACATGTCTCAGTATCAGTTGTAGCCTAATTCATTTTTGCACATTTTCATATTGCTTAAAGCTGTGTCCTAGTTAGGATAATGCAAACCAGACTTGTTAGAACAATAAAGTCTAAACTTTAGTGTGGTTGCAACAGCTGGAGAAGGGCAATGATTGATAAAATCCATCTAACCACAATAAGAATTTTCATATTAAAATAAGTATTTTAGAGGAAGAGAAGGAAAGAGAATGACCTCCAGCAAGATGGATTGACTCATTACAGCAGCAATGGCTGCACTGTCCGGAGACTTGAAGGACCAAGATGGAGACAGATTGTCATGGGGAAAACTCTCTTTGGAAACTAACCAAAGAGAGAAGCAACCTACAACTAAGGAGAAACTTCCTGACAGTTAGAACAATTAACCAGTGGAACAACCTGCCTCCAGAAGCGGTGAACGCACCAACACTGGAAGTTTTTAAGAAGAAACTGGACAGCCATTTGTCCGAAATGGTATAGGGTTTCCTACCTGAGCAGGGGGTTGGACTAGATGACCTCCAAGGTCCCTTCCAACTTTATTATTATTATTATTATTATTATTATTATTATTATTATTATTATTATTATTATTATTATTATTATTATTATTATTATTATTATTATTATTATTATAAAATCTATGTGATTACTAAGGGTCAGCATTGACTTAATGGCACATAATCAGTCAATCAATTTTAAAACAAGTATATGCATAGACACACATACACACACACACACACACATTTTATTTTGAAAATGATAGACTAGGAATTAGGTAATGTATGATTTTTCATTTATTGATTCCTGCCTGACATGATGATACCTTCCTCTTCCCCACTTTATTTCATTGGTTACCAAGCTAACAACTACGAGCCAGAGCTAGTGCTACTATACTTGTAAGATGGAAAGTGCCTGAAGAAATAATCCAGCGCAGTTAGGCTAATTGTACAGAACAAAAATGCTTCCACCTGAGTTCTGTTTTATGAAGTTGCAAAGCTATAGTCCAGCGGTGGCGAACCTATGGCACGGGTGCCAGAGGCGGCACTCAGAGCCCTCTCTGTGGGCACCCGCACCATCGCCCCAGTCCTAGGTCTTCAGCTGGGTTTTATAAAACCTTTTCGCTTTAGGCCTCCACCACCGTGTACAAAAAAAAAAGGTTCAATCAATCAGTCAATTTCAATTTCTCGCGGGGAAAAAAAGATCTTGCAAAGTTGGAATTGATTGATCAAACTTTTTAGTCCCACCTAGTCTGCCGTTACCACCACAGCCACACCCACCCAATGGGCCACACCCACCCGGCACCCGACGATGCATAAGTGGGTTTTGGGTTGCAGTTTGGGCACTCGGTCTCTAAAAGGTTCGCCATCACTGCTATAGTCAATGTCTCGGAGTATCAGGTATCACTGATAAAAAAAAATCAAGAATGTTAAAAGTGGTGCAGAAAAAGCTTTGCCTTGAGTAGTAATGAATAACTTACACCAGCGCCATCTGGAATGCTTAAGTTACCCATTAATTTAACAGAACATACAGGATATGGTTAAGAGCCACCACCTTTTTTGGGGGGGGGAATCAATAAGAAAACAGCATACTTTATCTGGGGATTGTCCTCAAGAACTGGAAATATTCTGACATGTTTACTTAGTGAACCATAGAATGAATAGGTTGGAAAGGTACTTTGGAGATCCTCTAGTCCAACTCTTTTAGGGCCAGTGCAAGACTTCATGACTGGAGTAGTGGTAGTGGAATGCCCTTTGTTTTGAAAAACAAACAAACAAATTTCTTCATTTTTCTCACTTCACTGGGATGCTACATCATAAAGACCCCAAGATGGGTGTGGTTTTCTTTATCAGAGCTGCATGCAGTTTTGCCAACTGCACACATTTCTTATGAGCAAAATCCTGCCCCCTTAGAACTCAGTGGGACTTTGTTTCTCAGCAGTGGTTTTGGCAGGGCTGAATCTAACGCACCACAGACAAAAGTGATCACCCCTCTTTTTCTCTTGCCACTCAGTTTTTTTTCCCTTTGGATACTAGTCTCCTAACTCCATATACAGTATCCTCTTTCCATCCTCAGAGCTCATCACCCTCTTTTCAATATAAATGGAAATATATTTACACTTAGATTCATGTATTGCTCTTGAGAGGATAATTCCTGCATCTGATGAAATGAATTGTAGTTCACAAAAGCTTATTGCCATGAGAAATAAGGTCCTGCAAGATTATCTTTTGCTGACAACGTTACCTTCCCGGTTTACAGAATTTTACACGTTTTAACTTACAGTTTCTCCAGAATTCCTGGCCGTAGAGTTCTTTGATATCAGGTGGTACGTTGCTCCAGAGGGTGCTGTAGAACTCTGCTGCACATTTATCTAGTCCTGTTAAAAATGCACCTGGCTCGATGATGCTGACTTTGACCCCAAAAGGATGCATTTCACGTCTACAAGAAAAAACAACTCTTTAAAAAGTAGGGATTTTCCTCCTACCTCCAACTAGAATCATTTCTTGCTCCATCTTACTAGATCCCCAAACATGCCTTTCTTCTGCTTGTTTTTTTAGCTGAAGACTTTTTGTGTGTGTGAGATAGTATGACCACAGAATTCAATTAGAATTTATGAAAATAGTAAGATTTTGATAGTCTAAGAGCTGAATGAAAGAAAGTAACTCAAACAATGAAAGAGATAAAAGACACTGTCCTTCAAAATTTTCTATCACCCGAAGTGATTTGCTATTGGCAAACCAAAAAATCTAGAAGAGAAATTTAATTAGGACAATTGCAGTTTTGGAGGATAGCAGCAAACTCATTTAAATAATAACCTCATTATGAAAGAGATTTTATACCCTTCATAAAATATTCCCTTGATTGTACGGTGACTGCCATGGTGACTTAGGTGTCATTAACACACCAACTGTGTAGTTTTCCTGGCCACAGTGGTTTGCCACTGCCTTCCTCCAGAATTTTTTTGGCTATCAGTCTACACTGTGGATTTGCTAGTTGCCCACCCTGACTGCTCTTTAGAAGGCCAGATCCTGAAGTTGAAACTCAAAGACTTTGGCCACCTAATGAGAAGGAAGGACTCACTGGAGAAGAGCTTAATGCTGGGAAAGATTGAGGGCAATAGAAGAAGGGGATGTCAGAATGAGGTGCTGGATGGAGTCATTGAAGCAGTAGGCTTAAATGGACTCCAGAAGATGGTAGAGGACAGGAAGGACTGGAGGAACGTTGTCCATGGGGTCACGAGGGTCGGACACAACTTTGCAACTAACAACAACAACACTATCCAAGAATGAAACAGGTTTGACCCTACTTAGTTTTTGGAGATCAGTCAAAGTTGGCTTTTTGATGCCACCTGCTGGGCTATCCTTCATATGATGTCTTCTTCTAGTCTTCAAGCTGAGCTCAATTCTTGTGATTTTACAAACACATTCAGTTTGTATATAGGCTAAAAGCAAAACTTGATCTTGTGGCACCTTAAAGTCTAATAACATTTTCATAAAACTGAAAGCTACTTATTTTTTTGAGATCAGTCAAGTTTGGGTATGTGGGGTCAGAAATACAGTCGTCATCATCAGATACAAAGGGTGGAAGGGGAGGATGCTGAAAAAATTGCAGGCATATGTGCTGCCTTTCCCCCTTCCTATTTGACTCTTCTCCCTAGCAGCAAAGTAGAGCTGCCTATAAAAACTGCAATTGTGAAACAGATGGGGGAGAGAGATGTGCACTTTGGAAGTTGGGCAGCTAGCAACAAATATAAAGCAGCCAAATAGATGGAGGTGTTTTTTCTTCATAGAGACTGGATGGTCCACAGGAAAAAAGAAGAGACACAACAAAGCAAAACAAACCAAATTGTGGAAGGTGCTAGTGCTTAACATTCTGTGTATTAATAAAGAAGAAAAAGAAAAGAAAAAAATTTGGAGGGTGGAGGGGAGTTAAAGATTGAACAGTGTAAGAAGAGCATAGTAATAGTACAGAGGTAATAAAAACAATATAGAAGTAATAATAGAATATAGTATAGAGAAAATTGTATAGTAACAATAATAATAGAAATAGTATAGGATATGATAATAAAAGAAAACACTCAGACATATATATGTGTACATTTTACTTTTGTATCTTGTTTGTTTTCCAAACCAAGATATCCCCATCCCTTATAAGGAGATATAAAAATTCAACTGACTCAGTCTGCATCAATCAAAATTGGGTGCAGTTTAAAAAAAGAATCCATGCCAATTATCATCATCACCAAAAGTGGAATTGGGAAAATTAAAAGCATATGACTGGAATGACAATTTTCCTTTCAACATACTTTTTTTTATTTTATTGCTAATGGGTAAGTATTTAATAATGCAATTACATGGATTTTCATTAAATGAAGTGTGCTTTTAAAAAAACCAAACAAACAACAATCCAAAATGCTACGGTGTGGGAATCTGAAAGGGAAGCCAAATCAAGGGTTATCAATGCTTCAATTTGAAAGGCACTTGGACTTAAATCTGGGTAGAAAATGTTCAAGATTTCTATGTTCTTGAATTTAATTTGCTTACTGGGAGGTGGTGCATGAATGCTTCTTTTGGCTAGACTGCCCAAGCCCCCAAAGAAACAATGTCCAAGCATGAGATGACTAGCAGATGGTGGTGATATGTAGTCAACAAACACAGCTTGTTTGTTGTGAGATGAGAGGCTAGGTGAGTTCTAGCCTCATCTCTTCTTTCCCATGGTGATAGCAGGCGTAGGAGAGACAGAATGAAATAAATATTCAAGGGAATGACTTGCCGGAGGCTGTCAGAGAAGGCTTCCAGTGCAAATTTTGAAGGGCTGTAGCCGCCTCCACCACAGGCAATTCTTCCAGCCAAACTGCTCACATTGACCACTCTCCCTCTGGCTCTCCTGATGAGGGGCAGCAAATGGAGTGTCACATCAACCACTCCCAGCAAGTTGACATTTAGCACCTTTGCAAAGTCATCCTTGGTCAGCCACTGGTTGGGAGCCAATGGAAAAGCAACTCCTGCATTGTTCACCAAGCCCCAGAGTCCTGTGGAAACAAACTCATTACTTCTCTTATAATCTGACACTATTTCAGAGAGGTGTCAGATGTAGGCATCTTTTTAAGGTGAATGGCATCAAACCACTTCTTTGCAGTGGTTTATCATTTTGATTAAAAGTTTATATAGGGCACAGAGGAATGTATATAAATAAAGATGATGCTAGAAGCTAGTGCTAACTTCCCATTTACTTATTTTATCTAATTAAAGTGGAGAAAGAAGCCTGTTGAGCATCATAGGCCTATACCGGCACACTCATCACATTTTCTATGCTTGGTCTGACTAGTATTCTTGACTAGGCAGGAGTTTGCTAATTTGGAGCTGAATGGAGATTTCTCAATAACCCCATTGTTATGGTCAGGTGACTTCCTGGGAAGATTTAGGTTAGAACTGGCTTTTTCATTCTGCAATGGTGGTGGATCCACTAAGTTACATAATTCTTGGACTCCTTTAGAATTTCATGGAGTCTTATATGTTCTCAAGGACTTTCTACCTGACAAACTGGCATTCAGTAATAAATACTAGTTTCTCTATGGAAGAGCATGATGAAAAGAAACAGTGATGTAATCATTCTCAAGTATCCTCTCTTGTACAATGGAGTCCAGCTAGTCCCAATTTACTGAAGAACTAGGAGCAGTATAACCTATCAAATCACAGCTAGAACACAAATAGCACAAGTTTCCCTGCAACTATGACAAGTTGCTACTAATAACATATTCATATGCCTTCCATGATATGAGGATGAACAGGTTTTCTATAGTATCTATAGTATCTACTCTGGAGTATCTTACTGTTGTATCATCATATAATTAAATAGTCAACAAGAGCTTTTTTAACAGTAAAGGGGCTACTATATCTAGATTTGGAAAGGAGGAGTTGCAATATTTGAGGCCTATGGTGACAAACAATCTGATGATACAAATATTTTTTTCCTCTGAGTTAATGTTAGTTTTGATACAGTTTAAGAGAAGTAACCAAAGTTTACATAGAGTCATTTTCAGTTGAAGCAGCCTGGCAAAGGATAGTAACAAGATAGTTTGAGTCATTAATCTAACCTTTTAAAGACTCAGTCCTTTGTCAATGAAGTAAAATATTTCAAACTGCTGAGGTTTGACTGAATGGTTCAGAAAGAAATTAAGATCTTCTGAAGAGAAGAAATTGTTTTAGGTATCTTGAGAAAGATTGGAAAATCGTTCTTTATGACTGAAAAATGGACTCATGAGAAGACTGTACAACTATTAACTAGCACATTTTTGGGGCAAAAGATTCAAGAAAAAGTAACAGATTAACTACAACTGCAATTGCATAAATCTGATGAGTTGGACTTTTCTCATTCTAGGTATAGGCTGGGATTTAGTCTATACCTAGCACTGAAACTTGATTGTCTTTATGGAAGAAGTGCTAAAGAGGATAGCTAGTGAGAATGTAGCTATTTTATTTCTGCCTGATTTCTCAGTAAGTTGTCAGTCATGAAACCGTATCTGTTCAGCTCAGGAAGCTGATACTTGGGACATAGTGATATGGTAGCTCCACTGATTTTTGCAGAGTAAGTTTTATGAGCAATACTGAGGGAGTTTCACCTGCTTATAATAGTTTCACTATGGAATAGGTTATGCAAAACCTGAAAGACAACTTGATTCTAAGTTGGTTCAAATACTCTATTGAATCAAATCCACAATATTACATGACATAGTTGTTTTATTTCTGGATAAGAACTTCATTCTGCTTTGGTTACTTCTTTGATCTTCAAGTGGTCTTTGACACATATGCATCACATGTGCAAAAGCCACTAAAAAGTGAAACCACCAACCAGATCCTGTCTTGGCATTCATCAAGGCAGAGCAGGTATCTCCACCACTTTTGAGTTGCATTGATTGAACTGTTTGAGGAAGACAGCATAATTTTTCTTGGTGCCATCTCATTAAACCTGGTCTTCAAGTATACTCAATTACTGGGTGAAACCCTGAGTGCTGATGTCAGCAACTCTATTTTTCTAATTGTATCTCAGTTAGGCATGGCCGAAAAAATGCTGAACCTGCCTAGATTAGCTAATGCTGAATGATAGCTAATAAACTGAAAGAAAATTGGATTATGGAAGTATTGCTGATAGGTGGTTATGAAAGGTAAATTTATTCAAAAACATTGTCCAAAAGAGCAACATGGAACTTCATGATTAGAGATAATGCTTTTTTGTATACCAGATTTTGGGGAGAAATTATAGTGAAGGATGCTATATTTTGTTTGTAGAATTCCACTTGTTGGCTAGATGGTTCCACTTGTTGGGTAGGTGGTTGGCCAACCAGTTTCTAGCCACTGGTTGGCTAGAAATCAGGAGACTGTGAGTTTGAGTCCCACCTTAGGCATGAAAGCTGTCTGGGTGACTTTTGGCCAGTGGTGGGATTCAGCCGGTTCGCACCACTTCGGCAGAATCGGTAGCTAATTTTTTGTTGCCCAGGCCCAGAATGGACTTCCGGAAGCGGCATCCATACAGAGAACCAGTTGTTCACATATTTAAATCCCACCACTGTTTTCAGCCAGTTACTCTCTCTCAGGTCAACTCACCACACAGAGTTGTTAGTGTGGAAGAAACACTATTATGTACATTCACCATCTTGAAATATTTCTAAAAATAATAAAGGTGGAGTAAAGAAATAAAAATAGTTAGGTCCAATTGGGCTCATGCAGAAAGAACAGTAATTAGACTGTACCTTTGTCTCCTACTTGTTCCTCCACCCAATCAGTTGCTGCTGCAACACTCTCAGTGTTGGTGACATCCAACAGAATGGTTTTCAAACAAACCGATGCGACTTTTTCCAGCTGTTCTGCCCCTTCTGGAGTTAGACAAGCAGCCAACACCCTCAGACCCTGAGCATCCAGCTGCCTGGCCAGCTGGTTCCCAAAGCCAGAATCACAGCCAGTGATGAAGACATATTTCTCTGTCAAGTTCTCCACTATCTGTTTCTCCCGGTACAATTGGCAGAGGATGTAAAGCCCTACCAGGGCAACCAGGTAGAGCCACATTGCTAAAACCTGCAAGATAATGAACTGCAAGCCAGAAAAATCCTGTGTATTAATGAAATAGCTTCAGGAATCTAAAAATGTCAGTAGCCAATTGCATTGACAATAACCTAATGAATGGAAATATATTTTGTTGTATCATCTCAGCTTTTCCTAATTAGTCTGATGAAAGGGAACATGGCATTTTATGAGACAACCTTTCCCACTGGTTGGCAGCAATTACCATTAGGATACTCTTTCTAATAACTAACCTACCTCTACTTTCCCAGCATTTTTAATGCAGGTAGTCATTGCTTAATGTCCGCTTGTTCAGTGACCATTTGAAGTTACAATGCTACTGAATGGTAGATACTTATGATAGGTTCTCATGGTTGGAGCCATCACAGCATCCCTATGGTCATGTGATCATGGTTTTTGGCAAAATTATAAAACGTGGTCATGTGACCATGGGAGACACTTCAAATGGCTTTAAATGTGGCCTGGTTGCCTAGTGCTTGAAGTGCAGTCACATGTCTATGGAGGTGGTGGTGACCGTTGAAATTTTGAATCCAGGTTGGAAGTACTCCCAGATATGTCTTTTAGAACTTTCAATGGTCACTAAGTGACCGATCACAAGTCGAGGAGTACCTGAAATTTGTAAAGTAGTAATTTGTAAAAAAATGTTATTTTTTTTAAAAAATAAAGCCTTTTAACAGGCTAATTGGTTGGAAGAGTGTTCATTATTCAGGAACATCTGTTGAATCACATCAGAGAGCAAAGCACTGTGGGAATTGTACATCATTTGCATACAGATACAAATGAAATAAATGGGGACAAAATGCACCATTGGGGAGTGTAGCAAACCATATTATCTGCATTCCAAATGTGCCCACTAGGCACACAGCACAGCTTTCCTCCTTAATAGATTTTGTGAGGTAAGAAAAATGTTGGATGAAGAGGGAGGAAAATAGGATGGTTTTAAGGGGAAAATATTGCGGTTTGAGTCCCCATTCTCTGAGTGAAGCTGCGGGACTGTACAACAGAAGTCTCTCCTGAAAATACTCTCAGATTAATACAGTTTAACAGTGTTTTTCAAATTTTGCAACTTTAAAATGAGTGGACTTCCAGAATTCCCCTGCTAATTTGCTGCCCAGGAAATCCTGGAGGCTAAAGTACACACATCTTAAAGCTGCCAAGTTTGAAAAGCATTGGTTTAACATTTCTCCCTTTTAGACCCAGAGAGGTGGCAACATTCATTTGACTTTGAGTAAAATAGGAATGGATCTTTTTAGGACTTGGGATAGGAAACCATCAGGAAATTCCTAAGATATAGGGATAGATTTGGAGAGTGAAAATATATTTCCAAAATTTAAACCATGAAAAACTTGAAAATCCTGAAAATATCAGTCTTGTTACATTCACCTTCAACTTTCCTTACAATTTTATTCCTGGTATTTGTAAATCCAAAAATTACACTGGGATTGGAGACTGCAAATATCTCTTAAAAAGATACTTCAGTAAATATGGACAATTCTGGCATTATAGAAAGACAGTAACTGATATCCTTTTCAGCATGTAGTACTCTAAAGGAAAGCTAAAAAAAATCCTTTGATAAATGAATCTCTTACCTCTTTTAGCTGTTTCAGCTCCTGATATTGCAGAATTTCAAAAGATTTTGGTGAATCTTAATTCTGAAAGCTGCTCACTGAAACCCTCAGTCTGCAAGTGCTGAGAGCCAGAACAGTTCATTATTACTAGCTATAGGTTTCGGATAGGTTGGTTGATATGAGCTGAGAAGGCTGGACTTGATACTTACAATCATGTGACTGGCATTTTAATGTCAGTTAATAGAAAACAAACACTTCCATCATTGATTGGCTAGTTATGTGAATTGAATCCAATTCCCATGAGTTTGCATTCTTAGAGTTTACTCAAAGTGGAAAAAAGCACCCAGTGCTTTGTTCAAAGGTTTGTCCAAAGAAGGAACTAGAGTGGAATGGCCCCCAAATTATTGCATAACATACTCATAGAATGGTTGGGGAAACCGCTGACTGAGATCTATTATCATTGGTAATAGCCACACCAAAGGGCAAGTTGGGGAAAGCTGGAAAGAAATGAGGAGAAAACAACAGAGATAGCAGAGGGAAGGGAGATGACAATTTTTTTCTGCAGTAGAGATGTGAGCTTCATTGTAAAATCCTAAAGAAAACCTGGATGCTGAAAGGGAAAACCAAAAGGAAGATAGACCAAAGGTGGGGGTTAAGGGAGAGTTGGCAAAGCTCAAAGAAGAACCTGGACCAGGTTATCATAAACATGTGAGCCAAGATCAGGGAAGAGACAGCAGCACATTTGTAGACTTCCAGGAAGTCTACAAAAAGCTTTTTGTGCAATTCCTACATACCAAACCTGGCAAAGCATAAGCAAGAACTAGCAGGAATAGCACCCTGCAAGTTTCTGTGTTGCAGACAGAATCCCCTCAAGTATAATACTTTCCCTGTGAAGGAAGGGCATGTTCTCTGAAATGGTTACTAAATGAGGAGAGCGTGTATTGCCATTCTGTGCATGAACGATCCTTGGTTTGAGCTGCCTCCTTATGGAAGAGGATGAAGGCACAACAGAGCTCTGAGGAGAGAAATTTGGAAGCATCCTACCGGAAGACTTATTGTATAGCCATTTGTTATTGGTCTGTAGAAAGCTATCTGGCACTGAGGAGGAGGAGGAGGAGGAGGAGGAGGAGGAGGAGGAGGCTGATGAAAACTTTTATGGATAGAAATAAAATGGCATGAGTGGGGGAGATATTCAATTTGCTTAACTATTTGAGTACAGCAAGTAAATCAGTGACACTGTTCTGCTTGATGATGCTTGCCAATTCTTTTGGAATAATTTGTATGGGTAGAATGATGAAGATTTTACATCTGCTTGGGATAATGCCAGATGTTGGAGGAAAATCCTTCTGTGGGCAGTCAACATTGGTGTAGGGATTATGTACGTAAGAGGAGCAACTGATCTTAAACAGAACCAGGCAATATATGCCATACAAAATAGCCTTCTGCAATTGAAGATGGAGAAGTGGCTGGAATACAGGTTTCTGCTCTTCTCTCCATAATCCTAACATTGTCTGGAAGGTGTAACTGACCAGGGCAGGCTTTTCCATCTGGTGTCTTCCAAATATGTAAGAATGAGTTCTTTAGAATGTTTACCTCCAAATTATGCTAGGAATTGTCATATCGAGAGGCTGGGTAAGAATGTTACAACTCAGCCTTAAATATTGTCTCACATAAGTGACCTATTACACATTTAACTACATTGAGTGCACTAAAGCACAATTTGTTTACTGAATAAACCCATATTGGGTGGGGTTTTTTTAAAAGTAAAGGTTTCTCTGTACAGTCGTATCCGATTCTAGGGCATAGTATTCATTTCGGTTTCTTGGCCAACAATGTGCTAATTCATAAAGCAAGATTTACATATTGTGTTCAGACAATATGTTGAGTCAAAAGCAAATGCCCCACATTATGGTTTAAATCTCCCCCTTCAGTTCCAGTAAGCTCTTTTCAGTTGAACTTTCTGCAGACACAAACAATACAGTATCTCAATGCCCTGCATTTGAAGGAAAATTCTTGAGGCCAACTTAAAAGCCTAGAACCCCAGTACATTTTCTCAGAAAAAGAAAACTGTTAATTTAGCCATCAAACATTTAGAAAGCCAAGACATTCTGATAAACTAAGAAAAGATACTGGGTGATAAGCAGAGCTCTGGGAAAGCAAAAGTAAACAACTCCCTAGAAAGCAAGCATGTTCATTGAATAACTGCCTCTTTGTCCTTACAAGCCTCCATTGATTTTTGTAGTCCTGCCCCATTACGTCAATGGCCTCACTGACTTCATGACGCAGATGATAATCTCTATCCTATGAAATGCTTGATTGTGAAGGGTTCTGGAACAAAGGGAAGTTGTTTAGTCTCACTGTTGCTTTCTTGCTTTTTGTAATCAGCTTTTGCACCAGGGAAATCTCATGCAAGCATGAGAATCATGTACATGGATGCGATATACTGAAGGAGGGAATAAGGGGGTGTACAGGAATGATTGATGTCTTCCTTATGATGTAATGGCTCTGTTGTCTGATTTTCATTGGCTAACAAAGTTTATAAAGCAATGCTACCAACTTTCTAATGCGTGGCACTTCTGGACGTAACTCTGCCAGCGTTCCAGATTGTTGGCCACCCAGCTGCTTAATTTGATCAAATAAAGTGCTGCTTGATAAAGAAGTCTCCGCTTGGGATATCTGATTAGATTGATATGGTATCTCAAATTCATGTAAGGAACTGGGACCTTACTGTTGCTCTGTCAAATCATAATATATTTTAATTTGCATAAGTCTATAACACGGGTGTCAAACTCATCATATCACGTGATGTGTTGCGACGTATCGCAACTTTTTTTTGCATTGTTGGAGCTGGGGTGGGCGCGGCCTCTGCATGATGCAACCAGCCCGCGGGCCGGCAGTTTGACACCCCTGGTCTATAAAGAGAGATTGTAATCTAACCACTCTTTAGACGATTCTTTCCTGCTTCCCGTTATCTGTAACTGTCAATAAATCAAGTTGTGCTTTCACAGGAGTGTACACATCTGAACATACTCATCTGAACAACCAGTTCAGATGAACTTGAAAAAGGGAGGGGAAAAAATCTTACAATACTGTCAGGGACTGCGTCTCCTAAAAGGGTCATGATTTACATATTCTGATTAGAAGTACAGGTAGTTCTTATGAGCAGAATTGGGCTTGCATTTATGGTTGTAAGTTGTGATAGTCGTTGAGCGGCTTGTCATGTGACCATGCCCAAATTTACAACTTTTGCAGTTGTAAAGCGAACCTGGTGGTCATTAAACAAACATGGTGGTTGTTAAATGAACCTGTAAATGCGGGCCAGTTGCTAAGCATCCAGAATGAAGTCACATGATAAGGGGGAGTGGCTACTGGAACTAAGAATCCAGGATGTAAGTAATGTATTATATTATACTGTAA